AAAGGAATAACAATATGTATGGAAAGAGGACAAACTAATATTGTCCTTCCAAAGTACATATAACAGAAGAACGAGATAGAGAGATGAATAATAGATAGAGAAGAACATTCTGATGATTTTCATTGAGGATACATAACACACTACACGTTTGTTGGGTTGTTACACTAATTCACCTATTGCCAAGATAATCAGACGGAAATAGGTTCTGTTTTCGTCCACGCTCTATAGTTGATCCGAAAATGGAGCTCTACCTTCCGATCACGGACATGATGCTTCGAGGTTTTTTGGGGCGGAGAACTCGAATCTGCCATCCACTTACCTTGAAATACCATTGGCTGAGCAGGGACCAATAGAAAACAAGTTATAGGAAAAACGACTTTCTGAGGGTAAATTAAGGTGAAGAGTTCAAATCTGAGCTGTATTCGCCCACAAAACCTATTGATTGAGCAGTAGTCACTAGAATTCAAGTGTCTATAGAAAAGGTTTTCCAAACTAATTTATATATCCACGCATTCTAGGGTAACTGATTTGTCTCATTCACTTTTTGAAGTACACATAACTCTCGGACTTAAGTCCGAGGTTTCCACCTTATTTTTATTTGAGGAGATTACAATTCAATATGCTGACGAAATTCATTTTGAGATTACAATTAGAAAAAGCTGAAAATCTTTCTCGTTTTCGAGTTTATAAAAATTTTGATACGCTATACTTGACACAAGTCAATAAAACGTTTGTTCTTACAATCGATTTTATAAGTTAGAATTAAAAGAATTATGCAAAATACTTAACATTGTTCGTGTGTTTTCTACATGAAATAAGTGGATACAAACATAAAATGTTTATCTTTTCAGTTTTTTGAAGTATGATGCAGTTTAATCAATGATGAATGTGGAAATTTGGGGTATTTGTAAAATACGCGAAGACCCACGAAGACCCACGAAGAGCCCCAAATCAGGAACTGACACTATCAGTAGATAGAGCTCGTCGAGTTGACTCTACGAAGATCCACGAAGACCCAAAATGGTTCAATATTAAAATAATTTTCCAATGAATACTGTTTTTTTCAATCTACGAAGACCCACGAAGACCCACGAAGAGCCAAAAAGATTTCACGAAGACCCATATCTTTTGCCAGTTGGTAGACCTACTTGAGTTAGGTACATACCCAAAATATGAGGCGGTTCTAAGCTTGCCTAAGAAAAATAGCACATATGCATTTTCTCAATTTTAAGCCTAATGAGGTATTTCATGTAAGTTACGACCATAAGTATAGAGAAACTGCTCAATCACATTCAGCAGATTTTGTTCAATTCAACATATGTTTAGAGGGAGTAGTTTTATGAATTTTGGCACAAGCCATTTTGAAAAATATTGAATGTTCAATTTTTTATGGATGTTTTACTAAAAGTCCTAAGGCATACATTTCGACGAACGGGGGTCTTGACGGAACAATATCTCAAGAACAGCTGGATCGATTGAGCTGAATTTTTTTAAAAACTTATATCTCTAAGAGTTCTACTTAAAATGGAATTTTCAATTCAAAATATTGAGCTATTAAGGTTTTATGAATCATCAAATATGGGCAAAAATCCACATTTTCAGTTATTTTGATACTTCATAACTCACGATTGGAATAAAATAGAGATCCGAAATTTTCATTGAAGCTAGAGCTTATAGAGTTCTGTTGTAGCTAAAAGTTTTAACCCTACACATTCTTCCTTTTGCTCAGTAAGATACTCTCAACAATGCTTTTCTTGAAGAAAATCATGGTTTTGAAACAAAGTTTCTCTCAAGAAATGGGCTAGCTTGAAGAATGAGTTTAAAGAATTGAGTTATTTGTAATAACTCTACGTATCCATAAACTCTGTAGAATCACAAACTGATATCATCAGTAAATCGAGCTTGTCGAACTGATTTTTATGAACGTTGACAAATATTCTACATGATTGCACATAGCAATGACTTCTAATATACAATGTATTTTTCAATTGACGAACACACATACCTTTTACGAGTGAATAAAATGGCTTAATTTATGCTCATATCCAAAACCCTAACCTTTATATGCCAATTTAAGAAAAATAGAAGTGATGCATTTGTTCAACTTTAAGCATCATAATTGAATTTTGCATATAACTCGTATGAACGGGACCAATAAATCTCTATTGTCAATTGTCGTATTTGCCAATATAAAGTATCATCGAAACTATTATCAACATCATATCTTCTTCTTACTTGATTACTGAAGCGCTTATTTTTGTTTTGTTTTAACTTTGGATCTGCCGTACTCATATATATGTTATGCTTCTCCACTTCCTATCTCTTTCTTTGGTGTTCCAATCTGGAATGCTCCAGAGAATAAAGAAATTATTATAGGAAAGACAGTATTAATGAGACAATGTTCACTTTGACTTTATTATTATTATTATTTCTTTTTTTTCATTCCATGTCAGCATGGATTTTTATGTGACCAACGCGATATATAAAAGTGTGTTTGCAGATGTGATCTATTTTTTGTTTCGGTTTGTAGTTGGTCCGTGTATTCTTTTCGTGCTAGATTTTCGAGTCGTAGTTGACCCACGCACACTTGTTTTGCCAGGCTTTCTCCCTGCTCTTTGTGTAATGTTCAGTTCAAGCACTGCTTTAGGCTGCGGAGGCTGATAAGCATAATACGCAGCAATAATTTCCTCGCGTTGTTGTGTAGATTTGTATGCCCAGTTGTGAGGATCATGGATGAACCTAAATAACGTAGCGTGCTTTGAAATTCTAAATTATTAATGCTACCTGGTATAAGGTGATACGATTTCAAACTCCCCGGCGTTATAGAGAGCTCGAATGGATTCATTTTTTTGCATTGTAATTTGATTGTCTATTATGTCTATAATGCGAGAGAGAGACTGTAACTCCCAACGGGCATCGTTTTTGAGCACATGATTAAACGCCTCAATATCGTTGTTGTAAAATAATCGTGGTGAACCATGATGATCTAGATATCCAGCTTGAAGACGTACGGAGCCAATAAGGTGATGGCGAAATGTATCGACCTGATAACGAGTAAACCATGCAAAAAAATCGCTGGAATCACTGAGTCGCTGTTCGTTTGTATCTGCGATACTGTGCCAAACATCGCGAAGGCCGTCAACTCTTTGATTAAACTCATGTTCAGTTTCCGACTGAATTAATGATTCTGGAGCATCAAACAAGTATTCAAGCAGGTCACGACGTTCATATTTTGAAAGTTGAAGTTTCATCAAATGGCGCTCAATATTATTTCGAACATGTCTTACACAAAAAAGATGAATAGAATCAGGGAAGACTGATGTAACAGCATGTGCAATGGCTGGTGCGCCATCGCTACCAATCACCAAATCTTTCGAAGCTCTGAGTTCTCGTCGGAGATAATCGAGAAGCTCTTCGTATGAATGAGCATCATTGCGGTAATGAATCATCGTTGGACCACAAAATACCGGAGTTTTCTTCGTCCGTCGATTTTTGTAGGGCTGTGTTCCGAAATGTAGTAGGAGTAACAAAAAAGTGCCCAAGATTGAAAGTTGTGTCAATACCTGTTGTAAAAATAAGAACTGTAGAGAAGATTCTTAACCCTTTACCTCTGAAACGGTTCCCGAAGAGGTACTGTTGAAATCGCCACAGAAATAGAGGATTGGTCTCCTCAATATGCCGCAAGTATGGGCTAATCGATTAGTTCCACTACCTCCTGTGCAAAATAATTTGATAACTACAGCGACGACTGAGATAGATGATGGAAGGAGCTCAGAAGCCCTACTTCTTTTCTTTTTTTATGATAGTATTAATTAGACAAATGCGTTATCTATTGCTTTCTATATGACTAAAATCAAGAAAGAAAAGTCACACATATAACAAGCTATTTTTGAAAACCACATAGATTTTTCAGACAGAGGCTTTAAAAATATACTTTTTTCTCTATGGAATTACAACACCAATCAAGGAATTTAATCGATAAGAAAGAGTTTTTTTTCAATTACTTATGTGATAAGATTTATAAATAATATATTCATGATATGCGTCATTGCGTTCTGTCTGTTCAATAGTCGTTCCAAGATTCATTTTGTGCCTTACTATTCCTAATTTCCCAGGCAATTATGAAATTTTTGAAATGCATTCACTTACAAAACGTGACATAGGAATCCCTATTGCCTATGAGTAAAACTATTTTATTTTTAATATTTCGCTTTTTTAATATTTTTTCAATATTATTGTTTTCGTAAGTGATATATCTCGGAGACAGAGTAACGAAACGAAATATTTTTCTGCAAATTATTGGCTTATGGAGATTACTACAAATATTGTCTTGGGAGCTTTTGAATCTCATGCTTTCTTTATTTTCTGCAAATTTTCTGCGAATGAGTCGAACATAACCCGACAAGAAGTAAAGGGTTAATATGAAGAAACTCACACAACACTGATCGTGATGACTGTGTGGTGTTGTTCAGACAACAGCGTTGGATTTCCTTGATCAAATGCTCTTGAGCGAGCACAACCACAGGTGCTTCAGCGCGACTCATAGAAAATCTAGCGACTATTCCATTGCCTTTCTCCAACCGTTTCATAACTGTTAAATATTCATCGGCAATGGAATGATCTTTTCTTCGTGCGTTGTATATTTGAGTCCGATCCCGAACTGCAGTCAAATTGGGTGTTTTTATTTGTACGACATCGTGAAGTGCATCTTTGTAGACTGTCGACGGGTCTGTTGTTAGCGATTGAGACTGAAAATGGAATTCCAACGTGGACTTTCATGATCATCTATTTTCTTAAAACTTACTCGAACACGTTCCAGAACGGCTGGAACCGTTGACGTGAAAGGACGCGTTGATTTTGTCACGTTACCATGTGGTTGAATGCGAAATTTTTTCACAGGCTCTGCTGATGCCGTTGCATATTGCACGAACATTGGTAATGGTGGATCATTCTGCTCGCCCATGTCGGTTTTCGTTGATAAATAACAAATCATACGGCGAAGTGAAGGATTAGCTTTGTTTGTGGCATAAATCCTTAAAATAATACTTGTAAATATAGGTAAAAAGAATCAATAGTGTTTCGCACCTTTTTAGTGTAAGCACATCCTTTTCCTGCACCAGATGGGGAACATATTGCCTTCCAACACGCTCATTATAATGGTATTGCCCTTTGGCATCGCAATAAACAATTTGGTAGCTCTCTTTCGGTGTTAAAACAAACGTAGTTTCAGACGAACTTGTCTGAATCCAAGCACCATTACCGTCTTTTCCGACAGACAGTCGATTTTCGTATGTTGATTTAACCACAAATTTCGAGGAGTACGTTACCTGTTGAGGAGGTTTATCTTCCACACAATTCTCCTTAACTGCATTGATAATTTCTGTTATGATGATGCTGGCGTTAGAAAAAACTTGCCGGGAATCAAAAGTGATCTGAAACGATTGATTTTGAATGCCATATTCGACTTCAACTTCTTGTTGATTTTGATTCGTTTTAGACTGTACCATTTCGAAATTGCTTTTCTGATTCAGTGCCGTTTTGCTTCCACAAGCATCAACTGGGTTATCAATGGTAATTGTAGACATTGACACTGGATCTTGTTGCTTTGGAGTCAAAAGTGGTACAAAATGATTTGCCCGCCAATCTCGATCGGCCTCTGGTTCAGGACCTGACCACATTATTCTTAGCGTTGCATCTTCGTCCCCTACTACACCTGCCCCCCGAGGAACAAATGTAGTATTCAATATCTCAAAGTATTGATCATCATCATTCACATGCGGATATATTGATGTAATTGGTCGCATTAGCACTGACGACAGAGCAGCGAGCGTGAGAACTCCAGTATACTGTTGACTGTTCAGAATACGCAATACATGCTGTTCCACTGACTCATCATCAACCAGATCGAGTCCCAATTCAGTAACAACCGTATTGTAGTAGTGCTCATTTAAGCATAGTTCATCGATACATCGTGCACGTATTTCATGAATACTTAGTTCTGGATAGAATGATTGAATTGAGTGAAACAAGCAGTCGCCATCTCCTGCTACGTTCACTGGTATCGCATCATGATTGAGAATGTCTGTGTAATTTTCTAGTAGATTCTTGGATTGAAAATCTACCGAATCGATGAGCGGATCAAAAAATTTCCTTGGTTCAGTAATCATAGGATGATAATCCATGGCATCAAGCATATCGATACATTTGGATTTTAAGTTTTCGTAACTTTCGACTTGATCTTTCATATTCGTGAGTAAGAGTAGGTAGAATTCGTTTCGCGATTGCTCTTCACATGCATCACACACAATATTCGAATACGATCGAGTATCGCATATAACACAATTTGTTCGAACAACGCGTTCAATAACACTTAGCATTGTTTTAGAATGATGGGATGCAATGATAAAAAATAAAAGAAAGAATACAAATGAAGAGGATGATGTAGGAAGAAAACAAGAATGAGAAGAAAATGAAGACAAAAAGATACTACAGTGTTATAGCAGCGTTTGTTCTGATACGTGCAGCAATGTTATTAACGAGTATTATATATATAGAATATTCCATTGATCTATGTAGTTCTTTCTTTCATTTGTAATCGACTAATACACAATACCCATTATGTTAAAAAGGACTGTGATAAAGTCAAATTGGTATTACGACGAAAAACTTATAAATTTAGTGGCTATCAACCACGAGGACGAGGAATTACGTATGTGCAAGAAAATCAAAGTTACGAACAAACACGGATTATATATATTCGATTGTGCAATTGGAAACTTTGTTCCTCGTGGTGCCATCGCTCTCAACGGTTATCAACGCCGAGAATGTCGTTTGAAAGCATATCACTCGTACTACGTCGAGCCGCACACCTGTAATAGTCGTCATACGATGTCATCATTACTCAATGACAAGTTCAATTTTAAAAACAAAGTTGGTGGAGCAGACGATGTTTTTGGGCAGCTGGGTTATCTGCTACTACCTCGTTTGTATCCACAGAGCTTCGTTTCTCAATCAGGAATGCGTAAGCCACGAGGTATTCTTTTATCTGGTCCTCCAGGAACAGGAAAAACTCTCATAGCTCGCACTATTTCTGAAATATTAAATGTTCAGCCGAAAATGATACGTGGTCCTGAAATCTTCAGTCGTTTTTTGGGAGAATCTGAAGAAAAAATTCGTGCTTTATTCGCCGATGCGCGCCGCGATCAAGAAATGCTCGGTGATCAAAGCAAGCTCCATATTATTATTTTTGACGAGCTGGATTCGATCTGTAAACGTCGAACACACTGTGACGAATCTACACGCGACAGCGTACAAGACAGTGTCACAACCCAACTGCTTGCTGAGATAGATGGACTCAAGCCACTTGATAATATATTAATTATTGGCACAACGAACATGCTGGCAACGATTGAACCAGCTCTGTTACGCCCAGGTCGTATTGAGGTAGTAGTGGAAGTTGGTTTACCAGATGACGATGCTCGTTTGCAAATATTTGACATCTACATGAAAAATCTATTGCAAAATGGTCTAGTGGAATCCGATGTCGACGTTGACACAATAATTCGTGCTGCTAAAGGTCTAACAGGTGCTCACATTGAAAGAATTGTTCGCATGGCAATTATTAACGCAATGCGACGTGATGTTCTTTCACGTGGACGTTTAAATATCAGCGAACACGAAGGCGAACAACTTCGAGTGTGTAATCTTGATTTCAAAGATGCACTAACAAAGATATTTCTTCCAAAACACATAGAACTTTAAAAAGATTCACGAAATTATTCGTTCTATTGTTGCATGTTTCTCTATTCCCACAGCCTCGTAACCACCAAATTGCATGTATCATCCATTTGAAGACGGTCTTTGCATTCAATAATATTTAAACTGTATTTTGAATGTTTGAAAACACACTTTTATATATCGCGTTGGTCACATAAAAATCCATGCTGACATGGAATGAAAAAAAAGAAATAATAATAATAATAAAGTCAAAGTGAACATTGTCTCATTAATACTGTCTTTC